CACTGTGGTACAACACTTACCACTAAGGGACATCCACTGTGGTACAACACTCACCAGTAAGTGGTAGATTTTCTGTCAGGCTTTCGTGTTCTTTATCTGTGAGTTTAATGCCTAGACTTCCCAGAACAGTGTCCAGGTTATTGACTTTAACCATTCCTCCTTGGGAAACAAACAAAGAAAGAAAGAATTATGAAGAAAATAGCTAATGGTTCCAAAATATGTATATATCTAGGCTTAAAATTTTAATCTTATGCTTTAGCACAACAAAAAGTATAAGCGTATAATTTATTTGTAGTAGTGAATGGATGTTGAAAGTTAGCTCAGCAAATCAGCTATAACCAAGCCAAGAACTTACAACGGAAATAGTCTAAGGTTGAAGCATTGCTTTGGCACTGTGATTATATGCTTCAAGTTATACAGCTTTAATAATGACCTGTCCAAAAAACCCAAATCATATCAAGGATAGAGTTGTCTCTGCGGGGCCCAGGAGGAAAACCCTGGGTAAGCCTTCCTCTACAGCAAGGCCATGGCTACACAAGAGTGACGGTCAAGTTCCTGGTAGTCAATGTTTGCTTCATCGGTACAGTTTGAGATGTAGTAAAATTATAACCACTTTCTCCACCTGAAGATCACTGACAATATATTCATCATCACAAAATTCTGCAAGGAACATTGCTGGCTGACATGCTTTAGGAAGTGTGAACTGTTAGGCAGTTGGCTGAGATCTGAAAGAGACCTCTCTCAATACACACCAAGAGGCAAAGCTTGATAACTCTGCTCTTTCCTTTCTAGTCTCCGTGAAGAAAGGAGTGAAGAGCAGCCTAGCCATAATCCATGCTTTTTCTTCTTCATTTCTTGTTAATTGGCTTAAGGGGAAATGATATAAAAAATGAAGAATTTCTGATTTGTGAATTCACAGAAAAAAGGGATATTATTTTCCATATTATATTCTGTGTATAGATTTTTTAAAATAATTTTTTATTTAAAAAAATTTTTCTTGGGGCTGGAGAGATGGCTCAGAGTTAAGACCACTGACTGTTCTTCCAGAGGTCCTGAGTTCAATTCCCAGCAACCACATGGTGGCTCACAACCATCTGTAATGAGATCTAGTGCCCTCTTCTGGCCTGCAGTCATACATGCTGTATACATAATAAATAAATAAATAAATCTTAAAATTTTTTTTTCTTTCCTTTTACATACCAAGAGGGATTGGTGTGTAGCTAGATTTTTAAATGATTGTTTGAGGGTGCAATTTAAAAAGGTTCAAGAATGGACATCTTGTAATGACATAATATGGATAATTATATCAAAGACTGAGTGTAGGAAATGGGAAATCTAAATATAGAGACATAGGCACAATTAAAATCTACTGTTATAAATGCATGTATTGAATTTTAGCAGATTTTTCTACTGATCACACTTCTTACAAACCTTTCCTAGACTTCACTTCTTCCAACAGTCTATTCTGAAACACCATTCCGGCATCTACAAGAAAAAAAAAGAGAGAGAAATTTATCTCCCAAAGAAAAGTAAGTCACTCAGTTACTGAGCAACTCACTAGTTCCAGTAAGCAAGATTTTTAAGCTTTTTTTTTAAAAAAGAGAAATCTTCCCTAACATCTTATGAAATAAAAATAATTTTTTAAAAATAAATTCTTTTAGTGACAAAAATATATACAGCGAAAAAGCCAATGGGGAGAAGAGCAGAAACTATCTCCGTTCCTTCTGTCTCCTCTCCTGCCCCCTTCCCTCCTTTGCCCAGCCTGGCCTCTCACCCCCTGGTTCACTCTTCTCTCTCTCACGTGATTGGGGCCCAGGAACCTGAGCGGGCCACACTGCAGCAATTATGTCAGCTCTGATGGCAGAATTATTGAAGAGCTTGGTGAGTTTTAGATTTATGACAGAACACATTTTTCCCATCCATTGCCAGCACTTCTTAGAGGAAATAACTGAAGAGATAAGTTTAGGAAACTGTGCAATGACCCTTAGGCATCCAGTCCCTTGAAGAGGCATTTATGTGGCTCACCATCCACGGGGAGGGCACGAAGTAGTGTCTCCTCTTCTTTCTTGTTGAGTTCAATCCCCATGTCTCTCATAACTCGTAGTAGATCGTTGACATCAATCTTTTTTCCTTTTGAAAAATAGTAACATTAACATCTGGCCATTTGGAGAAAAATCTAATTATATCTAGTCATGAGAACCTCATCTGTTCCACCTCATCTTCAACTTCAAGCAGTACTGGAAAAATCACCTTCAACTTCAAAGAACAATGGGGGAAACCACAGACAGAGTAGCATCCCTTAATTTTATAAAAGGAATATTCTCTTAGTGATGAGTTTGTGTGCAGCTAATCCAGCTGAGTGGTCCTTTTTGTTAAGAGTTCTTAGCAAATTAGAATGGGAGATTTATAATTCTGGAAGGAGAAACTAATAGGGAGATTTTTAGTAATATGAGCACTGTCTTTACAGTGGCATGATACATGGATCCCATAAAAGTTTTAGCTTGTTACTTACTATGCACATCAAGACAAGGGTTATTTGAATCCTGATGAAGTAAATAATATTATTGATTTATAAAAAGTAGTTTCTTCAAATTACTTCCAAAAATAAAATACTTAAATTTTATTATTAAATCCAAGACAAGCTCCAAATAAGATTTTTAGAGCACCTATTAGTTGAAACAGTCATAAGACAAAATATACCAATTGGATAACTTGAGAAATTATTTTAAACATTAGTACACATCAAAGTGGATACTCACCAGTATAATTTTTCAATGAATTTAGTAAATTTCTCAATTCAACCTTCTTATTACCTGGTAAGAAAACATATATGTCCAATATAGACATGCATATTGACACTTACTAAAGTATGAAATAAAAATAAGGTTAATATTTATAGACTCTATAATTTTTGTGTCTTGTGATTTAGAAATCTAAATCATGATTACTAGAGCACAATCTATTATGGGATAGGAAGTTCAACTTGCAAGTGTTAGAGGTAAATTACAATATTAAATTACCTTCTCCCATAGAGTCTGCTTGATGGTTTTTATGCCACAGAAAACTGTATATTCTGTAAACTCTGCTTACATCAAGAACAAACATCAGGATTTACAAATTGCATGTGCTATAATAATAGTGTTTTAATTTGGATTTTAAAAGGATATCCTTATGTAACGAGTTGATATTTCCTGTCTCCAGTTTGTTACTCTTCTGTCATATAGAAGTAAATAATCACTCCAATGATTAATATTCTTCTAAAGCAGAATCTCAATATTTATTTGTAAAACCAGTTTAAAAGTAATTGCAATGAAAGGATGCTACACATCTAGAATTTGCTCAGAAATTTAAGGCAGTTTAGAATTTTAGATGTTTCTTCCTTTATTGAAAAAAATGGCTAAGAAGTGTTCTCTGCAAAATATAATTTTGTTTTCTAATTGCCAATAAAATATTTAAACACATTTTATATAATTGAGAAACTTATAATTAAGACTATTAACTCAAACATGCCCCTAATAATCTGAGATTTTATTAATTCTCCTGTCAACAATTGAAAGTGACCAGAAGAGAGTATCAATTGTCCAGTGTCACTAAATCTTCTCCAAGAACTTTTGTTCCTTGTTTTCCCCTTTAACTAAAAAGTAAAGCAGACTATCATCAATATTTTTGAAAGACTTACATGTAAATAATTCACATATTACACAGTTGGATTTTATGGTGTGTGAATTATACTCAAAATAGTTGCAAGTTTTTAGTGTGCACAGAGCTGTGCAACCATGACCATGATTTAAGAACACTTTACCACCTCAAACCTCACATCCATTAGTCTGTAGCCACCACCTCACTGCAGTTCTGCTCTGTTACCAATTCTAGACATTAATCAAATAATACAAAATCTTGTCTTTCATCAACGGCTTCTTTAATTTATTCTTTAACCAATTTCTTGGATCTACTGCGCTTCAATACTAATTCAGCTTTCACTGTGTTTGAGAATTGAGAGAGAGAAATGGCCAAAGGCTCACAGGGCCTGGGCTCCGAAGTGGGACATCACGCAGGTTTATAACGAGGCAGCCTCCCAAACATCGTAGTTTGAATGTTTGAAGGCCCTTGATGCTGAGAAAGTGAGGGAGCTTCATCACATGACTGTGGTGCTTGTCTCTCATGTTAATATGCTCTAGTTTTGAGTTGCTGTTTTCTATTTTCCCAGACTGAACTCCCTTCCAGACTTTCTTACGTTACTTTCCCTCAACTTCCTCTGATTTTTTTTTTTTTACTCTTGGTAACAAGTTCTATTCACACCTTTAGCATTCTTCTTGGATTTAAATTAAGTAGTTGCTGGCATATATTAATAAAATAAATAGAAAGAATACCATTTTATGTTAATTTGAGTTCAATGTCTGTTTTTATAAATGCCATCTTCTTAATGTAAAATTCTTTTTCAGAGTTCACTATATAAATGCACTCATTTTCAAGTTATCACAAACATTTAGATTTACATGCTCACCATCAAGAGGCAGTTTCTCTACCAAATCTTCTTTCTCCATTTCTGTGAGTTCCATGTCCATGTGTGGTAAAATTGTGTCAATGCTAGCAACATTCACAATCCCGCCTTTGGAGAAAGGGGAATATAAACAAGATCAAATAACCACAAAATATGACACAAGCGATGTACTACTTTCATAGTATGGTATTCTCAAGCCCAGTGCAGTACGGTTGGTTTGTACAGGGACTACCAGTACGAATGTAGAGTTAAAACCTTTACCTCGGAGCTCTTCTAGGGTATGGGATCAGTTTATATAGTTAACTGCCAAAGGTTATGGTCTAAGTCCTATACCACTTACATAAACGAGAAAATGTCACACAAATGCAGGCAACAGGAAGGTTAGTTAGTTCTTCCTTCCAGTCCAGAAAAGATCACACAGTCCTTCCTCCAGAATAAGTTGATCTAAGAATTTCAAAGCTTTCTTCTGATGTTTTTGCTAAATTAAAAAATGGCAGGTTTGCAAAATCTTCACGGTGATATGACTGACATCTATGTAACCCAACCAGCTTTAGGAAGAAACAGTTACTGACAAAGCAGGAAGATCATCCTCACTGTTTTCTTACCCTTTCTCCTCGGAGGAATCCAGTGTCTTAAACATGCTCCAATTCTTAAGGCTACTTCACATGTATGTGGGAAACAGTTTTATGTGTATATGGGAAATGGTTCTCATGTGTATATGGGAAATGGTTCTCATGTGTATATGGGAAATGGTTCTCACATGTATGTGGGAAATGGTTCTCACGTGTATATGGGAAATAGTTCTCACGTGTATATGGGAAATGGTTCTCACGTGTATGTGGGAAATGGTTCTCATGTGTATGTGGGAAACGGTTCTCACAGGTATGTGGGAAATGGTTCTGGTTCTCACGGGTATGTGGGAAATAGTTCTGGTTCTCACGGATATGTGGGAAATGGTTTGCACGGGTGTAAAGCTTACACCAACCACATCATGAGTTCCTCCTGCCACTGTCATTTGCATTCTTTCTGTAGTCTTGTGTTTTTTCATATCAAAACATGAAACTCTTCATTCACTTTATGAGCTATTGCTCTACAACAATAACGAACCATTTATATTGACCCATTCTGTAGAGGAATATTTAGGTTGTTTCACATTTTTGTTAGAAGAAAAAGTACTGATTGCAAGAAAACTGCATGTGTGTGCATGTAAGGTCAAATGACCCAGTAGAAAATGCCCTCCCTTCCACTTCAGAAAAATATGCATATATTTAAATTTCTGTAACTTTACCTAGTCTCTTTTGAAAGTAATGAGTCACTTCATATTCTAGTGATGCATGGTCCCATTGCTTGATATCATTGATAGGACTTGTTTGACTTGACACATTTTTTAAATTGACGTGTGTGTGTGTGTGTGTGTGTGTGTGTGTGTGTGTGTGTGCGTGTGTGTGTGTGTGTGTGTGTGTGTGTGTGTTAGTTTGCTGCTTTTTTACTTAGGTTTTCACGATTGCTGGTGGCATCGAGTGCCATTTAAAATATTGTAAAATATTGACTGATCATCAAATTTCTACTACTGTATTTGCCCAATTTAACACTTTGGGACTTTGATTTTTTTTTTCTTGCTGATTTGTATTTCCTATATTTTACATACCCTTGTTTTTTTTTTTAAATAACCAATGTATCAAAACTAGCAAAATAACTTTATTTTTAGATTTTTGAGGGTTCTCCATACTGGTTTCCAGAGTGGTTGCACCAGTTTGCATTCTCACCAACAGTAAATGAGGGTTCTTCTTTCCTACACATTCACCAGCATTGTTGTTAGTTTTATTGATCTGAAGCATTCTGACTGTGATGAGAAGAAATTTTTATTTTTTTCTTCTATTGAGAACTCTTTGGCTATCTTATCACCAGAGTAGGTCAGTTCGGGCTTTCTCTCAACCATTGCCAGTAGTCTATTGTGGAGGTATCTTTGTGGATTTCTGGGGACCTCTCTAGCACTTTGCTTCTTCCTATTCCCATGTGGTCTTCATTTATCATGGTCTCTTATTCCTTGTTCTCCCTCTCTGTTCTTGATCCAGCTGGGATCTCCTGCTCCCCTAAGCTCTCTTTCCCTCGACCCTTGCCCTTCATTACCCCCACTCACGTCCAGGTTGTTCATGTAGATCTCATCCATTTCTCTGTCATTGGGATATCCCCGTGTCTTTCTTAGGGTCCTCTCTGTTCAGACCCATAGCCTATTTTTTTTAAATCAGGTCATTTATTTTCTTGATTCTTTGTATTTTGAGTTCTTCATATATTCTAGATATTATAGTGGCACTCATATCTTAGTGGTAACCAGCAGCTGTCTAATTAGACATAAGGCCCAATAAATAGAAAGGAAATATGCCTGATACTAGTAAACTAGACAACTACTTGGTCTAGTGAGGTCATGGATTTTAGAAGAGAGATCACTACTATAACTTGCCCAGACCAGAATAACTCCTAACTGCATTATAAAACTTACCCTTATACACATCGATAAGCATAGCTTTTTCCTTTCATCAAAGAAGCTTCTCTTTCCAGCAGAGAGATCATTACAGAAAGCCACAACAGGTGCCGAGATCAATGAGCATGTGACGCAGTCCAAGTGGATACATCTACAGCCCACTCCTGCATTAAAGGTCAGGGGACACAGAGAGGAGGGGCAGAAGATCTAGGCCCATCATTTTTGGTAGTGAGCAGATCTCATCAACTGAGAATGAAGCTAGAGTTGACAGCTCTGAGCCTGGGGGCAGGAGGAGCCAAGAAACTGGGACAGCTCATCTGTCACTGCTGCTTCCTAGTTCAGGGGTGTACTGGAAACCCACAGTAGAATCCCTGTGTGAAGGTGATTAACATGCAGGAGGACCTCAAAGTATGCAGACGGGTTCTCCACCTGGTGCCAAATCTCAGTGCTGTGGTTGCTTCCAGATTCCCAATGCACTGGGGAGACTTCCCCTAGTTAATTCATTAGCTTTTGTGTGGTCCTGGAAGTCTCAGGAGGGTGAGAGAACCCACCCAGCATACAGAATGCAAAACTAAGTGTGGCCAGCAGAGGTTCCTAGTACACAAAGAAAAAAATGACCTTGGTGAAGACAATTCTGGTGGAAGGCAGACACTTGTTCAATGCAGACTTAGCAGCAGCATAACTCACAGGGGAAAAGAAGTCCATGAGTTTCATTCATCTCCCTCCTTTCCATGCACACTACTGCCAGCCTTAAACTTTTGAGAATCAGGGGTTCTCTAACATTTCCTGTCTCGTGGTTTTTTGGTTGTTGTTGTTATTGTTGTTTATTTTTTCCCCTATGATTCCTGGCTTTTTGTTACTACATATTACGACATACTACATAACAAGGGCTTTTACTTTATTGTGTTTTAACGTATTTTTTGTTATTCTTCTTCGAATATTCATGTAGTTAAGTTTATATATTTTTTTATTTGGAGGCAATTTTTTTTCTTTTTCCTGTTTCTAGATTTTTCCTTTTTTCAACTGTCTCCACTGGTCTTTCCTCCCTTCTCCTTCCTTCTTCTCTACACTTAGTAGTATTTGGTTTTATCTTACTTTTTTCCCCTAAATGTTTGTGCACACATGCATGTATACGAGTGTATATATATATGCATGTGTGTAATATATGTGTGTGGGGGTCCGTGTGGGTGTCCGTGTGTGTGTCCGTGTGTGTGTGTGTGTGTGTGTGTGTGTGTGTGTAGGTCATGAAACTAGAAAGGGAGAGAGAAGAGGTGCTCTTAAGCTAGGTGGGAAAAGAGCTGATCACGAAGTATATGTGATAAGGAAGCTGAAAGGGGACTAACCAGGGAACAGGAAGGAAACAAATGGGTAGGACAGGGTACAAGGGGGGCAATGGGAAGAAAGGATGAGAACAAAGTGTAATGACATACACGCATAAAGATGCCTGCGCATAACCCATTACTTTGTACAACTTCCTAAACTATTAATTTAAAAGCATTTTGAAAGAAAAGAATGGTTCAAGAGAATATTTGGTAAAATATGTGCAGAAAATATGTTTGTAAAATATCATCAATGTACTGAAGGATTCTAAATCAGGAGAACACAAAACATACTTCAGTCACAAGCCTTTTCATAGCCACTTACTTTTAGAGGATAACACACCCTCCAGCAACCTATTCTGGTACACCTTGCCATTCGCTGTAAGGACAGAAATCAGGTCACATGATACGATTAAGCAAGGGAATACTAAAGCCTCATCTTTATGATTCACCCCAGAAAAGGTTTCTCTTATTTGCAAAAGAAAAAAAATCAATACAAACTGGAAAAAGTTCTGAGTATGGCTTCCTAGACCCTGGGACAATTATTGCGAGCATGCTAAAATAAAACAAAGATATCTTAGTCCTTCCCTGTCCTGCCTTTAATTTCTCCAGTTTTTCATCTAGAACTTCCTCAAGCATTCACCTTTACATGTAAACCTACAGAGCTTTGAAGCTACTTCTCATTGGAATAAAAAAATAAAAATAGACATATCCTTTTTCTAAGACTAGATAAATCAATGACTGAAGATGCAGATGATTCCAAACTATAACGAAACATCTAGGACTTCTTTCTAAGCTGTGGGACTGCATGGCTATGGCTAAACTATCTTTTTTTTAAGGTTTCAAGTATAAGTAGTCATGGAAGTTTAAATCAAGCAAAACTGGTGGTGCCCCTCCCCCTAGAAACACAGCCTGCATAGCACCGTCCAATGCGTGAAAGCCAGCTTGTAGGAAGAGTTTCCTGTTACCAAAGTGTACAGGGTCTTCAGCTATAGGCTCTTACCATCTAGCTCTGGTGGGCAACCATCAACAGTGGCAGTATTCTGTATTGTTTTGGGGGTCTCTGAAGCCTCCCTGACGAATTACTCACAAGAAGGGAACCTGAGCCTGAAACTAAGATTTTCATTTCATAACCTATGTCTTCTGGAAATAGCATTGTTCACCCACATGAGGGACCTCTGCTCAAATTCTTTTTCTTAAAAAAAAAAAAAGTGTGGTTTTAATTAGCTTACAAAACAGTAGGGTTTCATGTGGCTTCTTAAATGCTATATCTTTTTTTTTTTAATGCTTACCATTAATTGGAAGCATGCTCTCTACTTGTGAGCATTCTTCATCTGTGAGCTCTATTCCCATTTTTTCCAGAGTACTTTTTATGTCTTTGACATTAACTTCTCCTCCTTGAAAATAAAGAAGCAGAATGTAGATAAGAATGTGTGTGTGTGTGTGTGTGTGTGTGTGTGTGTGTGTGTTATGAAAATCTCTAAAGTTTGGAAAATAAAAGCATTTGCTTATTAATCAGCAGCTTCAAAAGCTTCACAAAAAAGTGGCCTGAGACTATTGTATCATCAGTCACTACAAAAATTACTGTTCCTTACAATGTAGTATCTTTAGTAATGGAACAAAACCACAAGGTACACGGTTTAGAGATTCTAAGTTATTTGCAATACCACAGATAGTTGATCCAAATTCAGTAATTCTACTTTTCTTTAAGAATGCTGTTATCCTTAGTTTTATCTAACTACATAATAAATTAGCTCAGTTCAAGGTGATTGTACTCCAGAACATACTTAATTCTACTAAAAAATGAAGAAAATTGACTATTTCAGGTTTATATTTTGTCTATTTGTTGGCAACCTACTACTATATACTAGACATATCTGCATTTTTTTTCTGGAAGGAGATTTTTTTTTGTCTTGACCAGAATGTTATTCATCCGCAGGCCTGCTTGCTGGACTTTGAACTCAGGTCCTTATAACCACATGACTAACAAGGAAGATTGATTCTGTTGACAGACTCAGAACCTTTGTTCAGTATATCCTAGATTTAGGTGGAGTGGTCCTTTCCTGCCCTCTACCCCAACTTCATTAACTTTAACATTTTTACTTGTTGCTTGCATTGTCTTATGATAGTTTAATACCTGGCGTGCTCACAGCATTGTGACTGTGACCGAACCTTTCTGTTCTGTGTTCTCTGGGGATTTCACTTAATGTTAAATCTAATCTGGTTTGATTGCAACCAGAAAAAAAATTCTTCCTGGTGTTCAGATTATATATATGTTAAGGTACAGATTAGAGTATATCTTGGAGAGTAGAGAACTGTCTGTCAAGGCACTACACTGATATATATTAAATATGGGAAACCCAAAGTTAGAGTGTTCATATAACTTATCATTTACAGGACTACTTAGAGTATAAGAGAATGTTAAAATAATTTTAATTTGTCCACTTCATTGGTACATCATCATTGTCTAAAGAAGAAAAACACTCTTATGAAAGATAGTAGATCATTTAGGATTTATAGAACAAGAAATCAACATCATGACCACTTAGTTTTATCATGACAGTGTGAAAGAATTCATCAATAGTACATAAGCTAACAGAGGTGGGTATGGTACAATAAAATGTTTTCCCCCAAAATTATTTGGCCTAAGAGTTGTAGTTTGCCATCTGTTATTTTATTTTTTTATTTTTTTTGGTTTTTCAAGACAGGGTTTCTCTGTGTAGCTTTGCGTCTTTCCTGGATCTCACTCTGTAGCCCAGGCTGGCCTCGAACTCACAGAGATCCACCTGCCTCTGCCTCCCAAGTGCTGGGATTACAGGCATGTGCCACCACCACCTGGCTTGCCATCTGTTATTTTAAATAAACAGAAATATTTTCTGAACTGAAATGGTAAAATGATAGAACAAAAAGACACAATAATCAGAAAATAGCATCAAAATATAATTTAGTGTAGTAACAAGGGACAACAATTTGAATTAATTCTCACCTGTAACTTTTGTTACTGTATCTATCAGTTGATTGAGTGGAATTTTTTCATTAGCTACAAGAAAATTCAAAATTAGGCATGAAATTCAAAATGCCACACATAAAGCAAACCATAAGATGCAAAAGAAGAGATAAACCATAATCCATTAAGTTTTCATCTTTATCTTTTATCTTTACCTCTTTATCAAGCTAAGGAATATTAACCATAGATTTTTATATTTAAACTCCACACATTTGAGGGGAAATGAGGCCAATTTTAATGGAAAAATGAGAGAATGCCATCAGTATTTAATGTGGCCCTTCCACACACTCTACCATTTTGAGAATATAGAAATAAGAGACACTTTATGGTAGATATTTTTACATTTTATCTTAGCCAAAAGCCAAGAAGCGATATATTAAGTGTTAAATATGATTAATTGAGAGCTAAAGAGCTGAGGCACCATCAGGAAAAGACCTTCTTTACAGACAGGATACACTAGAAATCTGCTTTATTCAACTAGGGAAGAGTCTGGGCTGAAGTTAAAGAACTGAGTTCTCAGCAAATAGCAATATGAGGCTCATGAAAATGTGAACATAATTTTTTAAATAAAATACTGTAAAATAGGAATAGAATGATTATTGGACTCAGGACAACATTTTGAGGACTACTAATAACAATTAGTCACCACTTCCCGTTTGTTCTTAAGTCTCTGAACTACAACTTTTATCCTGGTCCTTGTGAGGTTGTTACTAGCGAAGAAAACACCTTGTGACCTTAAGATTTAAAAGAGGGCTGAGGTGGCTCGGAATGTAAAGGTGCCCCGTGGTGGAAGGAGAGCACTGAGTCCTTTAAGCTGTTCTCTGATCTCCACATGTGCATGTACGGTCACGTGAAGAAATTGCGGTCACATGACTGGTAGTTTTGCCTAGCTTTGCAGGTGCCCTGCTCTCCTCTAAGACATGAAGGGACTTACGACTCTTGACCCTAGATGGCAGTTGCTTCATTAATCTTTCTTGCTCCTTTGGTGTGAGCGTCACTCCCAGGTTTTTCAGGACAGTGTCCACATTATCAAGCTTAACGTTTCCTCCTTAGAAAATGCACAAGGATAGAAAATGAGAAAATGTGTTCAAGACAGGAAAAGTGTGTTTTTGCATGCGCACTATTTGAATTCAAAGGTTTTAGTTGTTACTGTAATGAAGACAGAAGAGAAAATGCACTTAAATGAATAAGACTTTTCTGTTTGAACTTCCATTTAGCCCATATAAGAGCATGTAATAACCAATACAAAAACCATTAACAGGACAGTAAGATGGCTCATTGGGTAAAGACACCTGGATCCAAGCCTGAGGACCTAAGTTTAATCTCTTGGACCAACATGGTGGAAGGAGAGAACCAATTCTCTACCACAAGTTGTCTTCTGTAGATACACACACACACACACACACACACACACACGGAGGGGGGCAATGAATCAGAAATGGAATACCTTCCTTAAATCTTCCCTTGGTCAGGTACCTGCCCTATAAATAATTCACAAAATGGGATCTGGGAATCCGCCCCACGAAGTGCTGGGTTACAGGTCACCATCGCCGGTTTTTAGAGTATAGTATAGTATAGTATAGTATAGTATAGTATAATATTGTATAGTATAGTATAGTATAGTATAGTATAGTATTGTATAGTATAGTATAGTAT